TGGCAGTGGTAATGATAGTGGCAGAAACGGTAAAGGGGATTTGTTGATGAGGTTCAGAGGGCCTAGGATGGCTATTCCTTGTAAACTTTGCCCACATACACTCTTGTGGCAGTCCTGGGACTCCTATGGGGCTTGAATATTTTGTATCAATTTCTTTTTGAAGGTGCTGGGACTCTGGCACCCCCAACCCTGGGCATCCCCAGGCTTTGAGGACACTACACAGGATTTGAAGTCAGAAGACCTAGGTTTGCATTCTGGATGAGCCACTCACTGTCATGTGACCTTGGGCAAATCACTGAACTGCATCTGTAAGGTGACAGTAAACTCTACCTCACACAGTTGTTGTGAGGATTATATATATGCTAAAGCATTGTGCAAACAAAAAGCTCTGTATGAATGTTATTCTTGGGGAAGCTCAACCTTGTCAGACAGGACAACTGTGGATGAAATAGTCTTCCATTTCTTCTTCATTCAGCTTAGCCTTTCCATTTGGTCAGGGCTGCTTACAGGGGCTGGTGGGTTGAAGTAAAGTCACCAGATCTGGGTTTCTTTGGTCAAAGAGAGAACTTCTATGTTCAGCCGTTTCACCCGTGAGAAAAGGTAATTTTTAAGCCAGGATATTTTGGAGATGGAGGCTAAGAGGAGAATGCTTACCTTGCATTTAATCTAGAATTACTAAAACATCTTATGTAAATGAAGAACAGCCACAAAGATGCTCAGAGATAATTTAAGCCATAAATGGAAAAGTAGGAAAATTAGCTTATAAATTCTTTCTCCTTTCTATCCTTTTTACTTTTGGGGTCAGGGACAGGCATTTTACAGAAACCCCACTGGCTACGGCCTGAAACCTGCCAGTCACCCAAAGAGAAGAAGCTTCTGGGAAAGCTCAGTTCAATGGAGCAACTGTGACTTAGTTACCCTAATAAAGCTGTTGCTTCGTCTCTTCCAATGCTTCTTTCTTAAGATCATCCCTGGAATCCAAAGCTATCCTGTTTTCTAACCCAATAAGAATAAAAAACAACAGCAGGTCATGAGCAGCAGGCTTGGCAGTCACAGGAGACTGCCTGCCCCAGCACACGCAGCATATAGGGTGCACGTCTCACTCCCCAGCATGAACCAGCCTTGAGAAGTCCAGTCTCAGCTACTCAGCTCAGATGATAATTCTCCACCAGTGATTTCTTCTCTCTAGGCCCTTTCTACATTCTTCCCCAACTATCTCCCAAACCAAACAGTTACCTGCATGCTGATAATATTCCTTGGTTAGAGCTGGACTCTATTGGTATACTTTTTAAAGGACTGGATTATAATCTAGCTGCTTTTTTCTAATTTGGGGGAGAAGGGAATGGCTAGAACTATGCAGCCTGAGAGAAGCTGTATGTAGATCCATACATATGCACCTCATGTGTGTGAGCATATAACCTCACAGTTGTGTTCAGGCTGTCAAGGCAGGCAAAGGGTGGCTGGGTGTGGTGGCTCACGCCTGTAATCCTAGCACTCTGGGAAGCTGAGGCAGATGGATCAGTTGAGCTCAGGAGTTTGAGACCAGCCTGAGCAAGAATGAAACCCCAGCTCTACTAAAAATAGAAAAATTAGCCAGGTGTTGTAGCGGGCGCCTATAGCCCCACCTACTTGGGAAGCCAAGGCAGGAAGATCACTTGAACCCAGGAGTTTGAGGCTGCCATGATCTAGGCTGATGACATGGCACTCTAGCCTGGGCAACAGAGTGAGACTCTGTTTTTAGAAAATTAATAGGGCAGCGCCTGTGCCTCAGTGAGTAAGGTGCTGGCCCCATATACCGAAGGTGGCCAAGTCGAACCCAGCCCCAGCCAAATTGCAACAACAAAAATAGCAGGTGTTGTGGCGGGTGCCTGTAGTCCCAGCTACTCAGAAGGCTGAGGCAAGAATCGCTTAAGCCCAGGAGCTGGAGGTTGCTGTGAGCTATGACGCCACAGCACTCTACCGAGGGAGACAAAGTGAGACTCTGACTCAAAAAAAAAAGTAAGGCAAAGAGTGAAAAGGAAGCATCTTTTCTTGTTTTCCAACATTACTTCAAAGATGCCCAACCCCCAAAGTAGCAGGCAGTTCCCAAGTGGAGGGTGGGGGCAGAGGCCTCCACCAAGGCCATCAATAACCAGGTGTGAGGCACAGGTCTCTGTGTAATGTGAAGCTCTCCCGTATTTCATTTCTGCACCCAAGGGGCGGCTCTGCAGGATTGCTTACGGAGAGCTCTGTGTCTGGCACCTCTCTCCACAAGGCCCAGGCGCCCAGGGTCCCACCGACCTGCCCAGGAATGCACCGCATTGTTCTCTGGTGCTGTAATTTGGCTGCAGGAGCTAGGCTGAATGCCTCCCAGGGATAAGAAGCTACTCTCCCTGGTCCTCCCTTCTCCCCAGCTCCCTTGGGCTTTTGCCCTGAGACCACTGAGAGCGTTTAAATAAAAACCTCAGGAAGGCTAAGGGGGAAAATCCCCAGTCTTTCTATTATCTCTGTTAAGCCATGTAAAGACTCATGTCCTGAGTGGGTCTAAGAATTTGACAGAGACTTAGTGGTTGGTAAGGAAAGTGGGATAAGGGAAGTGGGAGAAACAGGGAGGAACAGAAATGAGGCAGTGAGTTAGACGTGTGAGACATTTTGCAAACAGACACACAGGGCCGGGGCAATGTTTGATTCTATTAATTAATCTAAAGTCCCTGATTTCATTTTTCCGGCATCACCCTAAGGAAGAGTGTGGATTAGTGCCATTATTCAGGGTTAGCAATAATAAAAGATGTCTTTTATCTTCAGAGCTAGGTTAAAGTAAGCATCTCACATTTACATAAGGCTACAGGCTGTGAAGCTGAGGTACTTCAGTCATGCACTTTCTCTAAAAGATTCTAAGATCTTTAACAGAGATCATCTCTTTTAAGTGAACTTTGTATCTAAACAGCGCTTACTGCAGTACATTCTACCTAAACATTTATTAGAAGTTAGAAGAAATGAGTACAACAGGAAGGCGTAGAAGAGCAGAGGACCTCAGACACTGCTGATGTGAGGAACAGACCTGTGGGAATGAGGACGATCAGAGCAGCCTGAAGTCACTAAACCCAGCCCTGACTGCACCAAATAAAGTTCTCATTTTGCTGCTGCTTCCAAATAAATTAGTTTCTGTTTGTATAGGGCAGAATGGACACCAGTTGTCTAAAGCCAATCGGAATGCAGAAGCCGGCTGAGGACTAAGAGGAAAACTTAACTGCTTGGCCAACATTCCTTCCTGGGGCCACAGAGCCTTTCTAGTGGAGCTCAGGTGGACACCCTTTCTCTTACCTACCTCACTTTTCAAATTTCTCATTCTCTAGGGAGCCTATTCTTCCCTTAACTATTTATAGGAAATTGCATCTTTATGAGTTAGAATTTGGAGCCCAGGAGAAAGCATTGAGCAGTATGAGATGCCAGAAGAGGCCCCCTTCTCTCCACAGGTGAGAGCCAAAAACCATAGAAAATAGGGCACAGGTAGATTTAACTCAGGTTGATTTTTCTGTGGAAGGCTTATGCCATCGCATGTCTTATGTGGTACCCTAGATGCTCAGGCTGAGACCTGAGACTATTCCCAGCAGCCTGGCATACAAGGGAGAACACTTTTGTAAATTCATTCAGCCCTATTCTTGAGTTCAGACTGATCATGACTCACTTACTCCCCCCTACCCCAAAGCTTTCCTCCTCTTAATCCCCGCTCGAGATGTCATCAGCTCTTCTCTTCCCCTCCTGTTTCCCCCTCCCTAATCCCACCTTTGGCTCATCAGTTACCCAGTTGACCCCACTCTGCAAGGAAGACATTCCCCTGGCCTGACTCACTCAGTCCCATTTCTCCACAGGCATCCCCTCACCACAGACCACAAGGGTTCTGACTAGCTCATGTTTTGTGTTAATGGTTGTGAAACCAGAGCAAATCCCCTCACCAAAAGAAAAACCACCCTGAACTCTCCCACACAGGTCTCGGCAGGTTACACAAATATTAGTCCTATCATCCAAATAAATCTGCCCCCATGGCTCAGAGCTATGATTCCCCCAATCTCCTGCTGCTTGTGCAGAGTAAAGCTGCTTCACAAACATATGAGGACCCCAAGGAATACTGAAGAGGAACTTGGGAAATGAAAGGAGGCCTATATCCCGAATTCCTAATGTAGGCCCCTTAATCTATCTACAGCCTGCTGTCAGTACTTTATAGTCCTCAGTTGAAGGTTCTCGGAGAAATCATAATGGGCTAGAACTGTCAGAGGCTTTGCTGAAGGATATCTGTTGGCTAGAGTTTGGGGCATACTTAAAAGTCAATATCTGAGATGGGTATGTATCATCATTTTACAGATGAGAAAACAGAGGCTTGGAGAATTTAGGTATCTTACTCAAAACATCAGAAACAAGCAGCACAGCTGTGATTTTATCCCAGGTCTGTCATAACTGCGCATTTCTATACCACTCTGCTGCTTTAAAATATCAACACCCAAGAGATAACCACTGTCCAAGTTAGACAAAAATAGGACATTAAGGTTTTCAAGACTCCACCTTACTGAGTCTGCTATTTTGGGAGACTCCACTACTGCAAACCTAGTTAGGCAACAGGTACTAGCATAGAAGGAACCCCCCCTACTGAAGCCCAGTGTGGAGTGAACAGTAATCATCATCAGGACTTGGAGTCACTATGTACAGACATGTTGAATAAATGGCGGAAGGCTGCCTTCTAAGCTGTTTCCCACTTTGGTCCAAAGCCCCGACTCTCTTTCCCACTGTAGGCCCTGGTTCCTGCTCCTAGCATCAAAGGCTAGGATCCTCTCCTAAAGAATTCCTGAAGCCAGAGGTCCCTACCTGTCCAGTATACACTGATGCCTCATGTGGGGCCTTGAGATCAAGCCTGCTTACCCTCTCCTACCCTCCATGAGTCACTTAATCTTTTTTTTCCCAAACCTGACTAACCCCCAGAATAATGTATGGGGAAAAAAAAAATCCCAAGGCTAAGCTAGACTGTATGTTCTAGGGTATAGAATAATGATCTCTTAGGCATGGGAACCACTGCATACCACCTAGGTTCGAATAGGCAGCAAGTGAGCAAGAGAAGCAGTACAGACTGTCTGATTTGAAAAGGGGGCAGGGGAAGAGAATGAATGAATGTGTGTTTGTATAGTTATACAACTGTCTTCCCTACAAAACACAGCAGTTCATAAACATAGGACCATGTGCACATAGAACCTTGTCCACTTTGGCTAACTCTTGTCTAGCAATCTCAGACCCTCAATAATAAAGGAATGTTGCGCCTTTCTTTTGGGGTACTAGGCTGTCTGCTTATACTGACTCCAGGGAAGGGGCATGCAGTTTCATCTCTGTCCCATCTAACCTTCGCCAGCTAGAAAAAATGAAACTATCCAGGTACCCCTTCCTCTTGCACACTCAAGAAGTGTCAGGAGGCCAGTGCAAGGGATAAGAAAATTGAGCCTCAGCTAGGTACTTTAGTGCAACTCATACCACTCTGAAGACCCCCTACCTCTTCTCTCCAATCACACCTCCAGAGGAGATCAGGGGGCTGCTCAGTTTCTCATACCCCCTGTCAACTCCTTCCCAGGGCTAAGGAACTAGTCAGGACACCATGGTCCCTCTGGATTATTCTCCAAGTCCTTAAACAGAAGCTGTAGCAGCCCAGGACTGAGGGTGGAGGAAGGTGTGCATGCAAAGATCTTGTGCTTTTGAGTTGGGAGGCTTGAAGTGGAGGGATGAGTGAGGTATCTGTGTTCAGGTCTGGTCCAGCCACTCTGCTTTCTTGGGGGCCTTGCAGGTGTGGACGTCCACAGTGTTTCTGCACTCCTTGCACCGCACAGCACAGCACCAGTGGAATTTGCACTCACACTGGGTGACACGGGTGACTCGAGTTGTGTCATACCCCCGGCCACAGCACATGATTTCACAACCATCTGTTCCTTTTGATGTCTTGCTGCAGACACGGCCTGCAGTGCCTAGGGAGCCTGGGTTGGGGAGAGAGGGAATAAGAACCAAGTTACCTCTCACTTGAGCTGCTCTGGCACCCTTACCCACATTCTCTGAAGGAAACCATAAAGAGTCCCTGTTTCTGAAAATATACCCACTAGCCAAAATGATCATCTTTGCACTGCCCTCTGTACCAGGCTTATTTCTTCCCACTGTCAAGGCTCCCCAAAGGCCACTGACTTCATCTGCAATTCCCTCCCTGCCAAGATACATCTCCATATCTTCTCCAAAATCTAACCTTAAAATGTTCATAATTGTTAAAGCTAGATTAGGGTTCTCTGCTTTATGTTTGAAATTTTCCATAATAAAAGTTAAAAACAAAAACAAAAACAAAAAACAAGCCTGTAATTTATCTCTTCTAAGAAGTATCTTGCCACAATTACGATCTGCTACCATTTGTTAGTATTCTGGTCCTTAGTTTATATTAAGTTGCTCTATACAGGGAAGTAGCATGTGTACAGCGCAGCCATTCAAAGCATGGACCTTGACGTCAGATCATCTGGAATGAAATCCCAGTTCTGCCGCTTCTTAGCCGTGTGATTTAGCCAAAATGAGATATTAACTAACTTAATTTCTCATATGAAAATGGGCTTTAATTTTCTCACATAAAAATAGACATAATAACAGAATCTAACATAGTAGGCTGTTATATCTGTAATCTGTTCAGTGGAGGAGATGAATTGATCAGCATGACTTGCTGGAGGCATATGCCTCAGCAGTTCCTATTGCATTATCCCCTTACAGTGGGAACGCTTTAAGGGTAGGAGTGATGTTTCCCCACTTACAACTGTACCATATAGGAAATGCTTACAACTTCCTTTCTGATTGTTTCAGTAGAAGAGATCTGGCCAGCAGATCATACAATCAGTAGACTTTTATGGATAGAGTGGATCCTAGAGGGTATCTACTCCAACCCTGCCCCTTATGAATAAGGATCCAGAGATGGGAAAGTGACTCATGTGGGGTTAAAGAAAGAGAATAGATTAATTGATTTCTATAGCAGTGGTCTCTACATTTTACTGGAATATGGAAAGAAATGCTAGAACTTCTATATTTGTTGTTTATCTCAATTTAAAATTATCTATTTTATATGTATGTTTTGTAAAATACATATTAGTATGATGGGACATAGACATATATAAATATACATATAATGGACGGACATGCTCAAGTTCTTTAGTAATAGGAGTATATAATCCAAAGTGTTAGGACAGCACTGCTCTACAGTGTGGACTGACAGAGTCTATAAATATGTACTATTCTCTTAACTCCAAGGGCTAGGTCTTAAGTCCTTCTTTTCTGCATCAAAACTCTCTTTTCCATTCTGGAGCTGTAGTGTCCACTGTAGTAGCTACTAGCCACGTGATTTTTTTTACATCCAAATTAATTAAAATTGAAGAAACTAAAAGTTTTAGCTTTTCGGTTACACCATATAGCTACATTTCTACATTTCACCATATAGTACATTTTCAAGTACTCAGTAATCATATGTGGCTAGTTGCTACTGTATGAGACAACAGAGATATGAGAACATTTCTGTATCATGAAAAGTTCAGGGGGATGGTACTGCTTTGGAGGGAATTCCTGGGTCCATACTCAATTCTGGGATGACTTATGTTCTTTGAATTCCAAGTCCCACTTTGGGTTTTATGAAACCTAATTTTATGCCTCTGAGAAAGGCCAACATTTATCCTTTCTTCTGACTCCAAAGATCCCTCCGCAAATGTGCATGGTATGGTAATGTAGACTTAAACCTCAGGTGTTCTGGAATTATTTCTAGGTATCCAGAGAGTAACCCTCTGACCGTGGAGAAGGAAAACATACCTACTGGCAGGAAATCACTAGGAGAATCAGAAGGGCTTTCCACCCTTTTTTCTTTTAGTATTCTACGAAGTGTACCAACTACTTTCTCTGTTACGTGGGTAGAGCCCCCACCCTGTTTCTCTGGTGCCCAGTTTTGCTCTAAGCCACCTGACGCTCCAGGAATAACAGGGAAAAGTAAAAACAAACAGCACCAAAGACAGCTAAGGTTTTTGGCTCCACCTCACCCAAGTCCTGACTGTCAAGTCTACAGAAAAGAGCCTGGGAGCCCCATGACAGTAACAAGGGAAAGAGCAGCACTGTTGTACTCCACGCTGTTTCTAGTGCAACCCATCTGAACCAGGGATATGAGCCATGATGGTAACTTCTAGTCGCTTGGGGAAATACTATATTACCTTCCCGCATCCCCTAAAATCCCACCACAAATATCTAGAGCAGATTGAAAAAACTATTTGCTGCTTTGTGCCAGCCACTTGCTTCCAACTATTTGCTGCTTTATCTGACTTTTGTAGGTATCTCCTCTTTTCTTTCTTTCCCAACTCCATTTTATTTTATTTTTTATTTATATATTTATTTTTTGGGACCGAGTCTCAAGCTGTTGCCCTGGGTGGAGTGCCATGGTGTCACTGCTCACAGCAACCTCAAACTCTTGGGCTTAAACAATCCTCTTGCCTCAGCCTCCCAAGTAGCTGGGACTGCAGGCACCCGCCACAACACCCGGCTATTTTTTGGTCTTAGTTATCATGGTTGTTTGGCAGGCCTGGGCCAGATTTGAACCCACTTGCTCCAATGTTTGTGGCTGGTGCCTTAGCCACGTGAGCTATAGGTGCCAAGCCCCCAACTCCATTTTAGAATCTTTAGTTGCAGCACACTGGATAAAGGCTTTCAAGGTCATCCTTCTAGCTTTAATCTTTCTTACCAGACTGATCTGTTCTCTTCCCTGGAATAGGTCATGTGCTTTCCCACTCACCACTCTCTGCTCAGAGAATATCTGCCTGCTCTTGTCTCTAGCTATTCAGATACGCTCTACACTTCAAGGAGCAGCTTAAATTTTACATTTATAAATAAACTTCTTGATTTCCTCCATCATCTCTGTCTTGCATTTGTGTACCCATAATTTATTACGTAGACTGTAAAGAGTGAAAGGTGCAGAGCTGTATCTCATGCTTCCATGTAGCCCACACATTGCTTGGAACTGAAAATAGGTGGCCAATTTAAACACTCACTGAGTAGTGCCTACTATATTCCTAATGCTGGTGATACACCAAAGCTCCATGACCTCAGGCCTCAAGGAGCTGAATGACCTCCTCCCCACCAGGGCAGCATTGGGCCTGGTGGATTGAGGCATAAGTCAACAATGACCAAGATTGCATGTGGGGAGGAAACTGACTCCTCCCACAGCATCCCCTGCTCTAACTTCTGAGACTGAACAGACTTTGATTAACCAGAGGTGCCTTCAGTAAGAACTGGGCCTCCATATCTTTGCCTGCCTTTGGTACTCACCTGCAGCCTTATCCAAGACACAGTAGTCTGGGGAATTGTCGAAATAGACAAGATCAGTCCGGGTGGCACGGCGATAGCCTTGGAGAGCTGCTGTGAAGTTGGCACCATCCTGGGTGGCCATCACCTGTACAGCCCCATCATAGCGCCGCCGCAGATAATCACCTGTGCGGCGGAAGTCTGAGAGTGCACGCCAGCAGGTGCGCAGAGTACAGGAACCACTCACACCATGGCACTTGCACTCCAGTTTTAGAAACCGCCGTACAGCCTGGGGTGGGGGAGAGGAAGGTAAGAAAGAGAAAGCCGGTCAGGGCACTTTTTAGTCATTCCTAGGACCCAGAACATGAGTGCTCTGAGATCTGCTGGCCTTGGCCCAGGCTGGCTAGTTAAGCCCTTGGTCTCTCCCACATCAGATCCCCCGCAGTTTTTTCTTGATCAAGTTCAAGAACCTTTTCTTTCTTCCTTTTTTTTTTTTTTTTTGAGACAGAGTCTCATTTTCTCACCCTCTGTAGAATGCTGTGGCATCATAGCTGACAGCAACCACAAACTCTTGGGCTCAAGTGATTCTCTTGCCTCAGTCTCCAGAGTAGCTAGGACTACAGGTGCCCACCACAATGCCCAGCTATTTTTAGAGATGGAGTTTCACTCTGGCTTAGGTCAGTCTCAAACTCCTGAGCTCAGGCAATCCACCCATCTCTGCCTCCCAGAGTGCTAGGTTTACAGGCGTGAGCCAGCACACCTAGCCACCAAGAACCTCTTCTTCCAGAAAATTTTCCTGGACCTACAGTGCTTTCCTTTCTATGATAGGCCATCAGACTTTAGAACTAAAATATCCTGTTCATGATTACAGTATGCTGGTTTTCCCATGTTTTAGTTCCAGGTGTTGTACCTTTAGTTGTTGTAGTATGCCATTTTCCAGCACAGTTCTAGGCACATAGAGGTGTTCAGATACCGGTGAACTAACTAAAACAGGCCCATGTTCTCTCAGTCTTGATGAAGGCAGTTCTTTTCCTTCTTAAAAAGTTAATTTTTAAGAACTTCCTTTTCCCAACTTTCCACCTCCATGAAGACTCTTTCTATACCTGGTTGAACGTAGGCATTCCCAAGCTCCCTTGCATGTGGCACTCTTGGCCCAGGATTCTGGGGCTTTGGGAAGTGATCTAGAAGCCTTCAGCTCTTCCACCTTCACATTTAGCCCATGGTCACACCTATTGGTCACCCCAGCAAATAGGAATATATGTACATCGATGTGAGTACTGACCGTGCGACCACAGCGGTTGTTATGTAAGTTCATGAGGGCCCGGGCATCCTTAAGCCTCTTCTCCTTGGCATCCACAAAAGCCTTGGCAAAACGGACGCCATAGTGGATATTGTCACTGCAGCCACCCCAGTCAAAGTCCCCACGTTGGTCATGATGTCGGCCACGGGTGTAGGGATCACAGCTACATACACTCAGTTCACCCTGGCTGCAGGCACGAGTGATAGCATGTACCACTCCTGCTGAAGAGATGGCATATACAAATGCTGCTTCCCGGCTACCTAGAGAAGAAAGGTACAGATTTGTTTCAGGAAAGAGGCCCATGCCATCCCTTTCTTCAGCCCACACGACCTCTGACTCTGAAACTTCCTCTCCTCTCCTCTCCTTTTCTTTACCAGAGCTACCCCCTATACCCCATTTATTCAAAGCACCTTCTAAGAGCATCTCCAGAGTATCTTTTCCTCTTAGACTTCAACTCTCCACTTCTTTATACATCTGACCTGTTGGCTGACTTATACTCTTGTTTCCTTCCAAATTCCCTGTGTCCATCCATTGAAAAGTCTCTTGGTGAATCATCCTCTCCCACTGAGTGCCAGAACTGGCTGAGCCAAGTCTCCCTTAGTCCACATTCCAGGCCTTTTCAGGCCCACTCTGCTGGACAGTTCCCGCACAATGGAGACCCCAGCCCCGGGGTCAGCCTGCTTGGAAAGGCATGCCACCTTCTCTGCCTGCTGTCCTTCCCTCCCTGCTCTTAGGTACTGATGAATTATCACCCTGTTTGCCTGACACCTCCAGATTCCTATCTCATTGGCTTTTTCCTAGTTTACTTCAACTCTGTTTAGTTTCTTTGCTGAACTGGGGCCAAACCACTGACTCTCCAAATATTTACATATCACCTTTCTGTTTATCTCTTGTTCCCATTACTGTCATGTTGGGAGTGTTGAGGTGACGATAGTGATGATGGTAGTAAGAACACAGGACCTATTCCTAGACCTCAGCCTTATAGTACATAGAAGACCCCCAAGCTGGGGATGTAGTAGGGAAGGAAAAATTAGGGATAAAGATGGACATGCTAAGGAATGCTTTACCCATCATCCCACAGCCCTGGAATTTAGAGGAACCCCTGCCTACAAATCTAAGGTACTGAGTGTCTGTTCTCAACTCTTGGCCCACAGTTGTTTCTCAGATTATGAGGTAATGCAGGCGGAGGGAGGAGGGAATCTTGCCTACCCATCCTCCTTACCACCCCAAGCATAGAAAGGGAAGGAACTGGGCAGGGTGGAAGAGGCCCCTACTTCTGAGCATGACACGGCCAAAGACAGTGTGGTCCCGGTCCAGCGTGGTGCAGTTCCAGCGGTGGTGGCGGAACTGGTGCTGACACTCTCGGATCCATTCTCGGGCCCCCTCGCCCACTGAGCGCATGATGTCTGGGTAACGCTGGCACAGCTGCCGCTGCCGGCTCACCAAACCAGGGATATTGTCACAGATCACGCGGGCCCCCAGTGCCCCAATGTACCTGCAAGGTGGAGATGGCCCTGTCAGAGCATCCTAGCCCTTTTTCTTCATCAAAAGGTAAACAAGGAAGGGAGAAGTTTGGCACCCAGACCTTGGACAGATTCCCTCCACCTCCCCAACCCATATTCCCTAAAGCTGATGGGTAGAATCTTTCCCCACAAGCTCTAGACAAATAGTTATGCAGTTGCAGAGAGAGTGAGTGCTCTCCCTCCATCACCAGTTCCCCAGCCAAAGGCCAAGTGACACATACTCCCAAAACACAAGCTAGGTATGTGTCACATACACAGAAGCTGTGGGCCTGTCACACAAACCCATTGCCTGTTTATTTAATAAACATTAAAAGCCTCATAGAAAAATAAAACAAGGGTCTGAGACAACACTCTTCCACCCACATGTAAGAGGTACGTTCTGCATGACTGGTCCATGAAGATATGATCTGGTGACAGGGAGATGGGGACGGGGAGGGGCTGGTGGGAAGAGACAAGTGTGCAATTTTGAGTAATGTTTATAGCTCTAGTTAGACCCAGGTAGCTAAAAAGTCCTCATTCCCCATCCTGAGGTCTGGGGAGAAAGACCCCATCCCCAGCTTTCCTCCCCATGCCCTTTATTTCCAGACCCGAGGGCTATTCTTAACTAATGAACCTTTTCAAATCGTTTTCCTCAACCTATAAGGCAAGATATCCTGGATGGACTTGCACGGGCAGAGGGCTGTTTGCAATAGGAAGCCAAAGTCACAGGGAGAATTGAACTCTCCCCTTCCTCCTGTCCCTAGTCTGACCGATATGAACAACTGTAAGATTGATTGAGATGGGCTACTGAAGGACAGATGGTCTGCCAGAGTCATCCTCAAGTTTCCCAAGGCAGTAGTTTCTGTTAAATACTCTTAGCCCTGGATAGCCTCAGGGAGAACATTTCATAGAGAAAATAGCAGAGTATTACTCTTTTTCCCTAAGAGGCCACCAAATGAGATCAGAACTATTCACCCACTTCCTCCAGCTCATCAGCCCATCTTCACTGCTCATTCCCTTTCTCGCTAACCCCTTAGCACCTTCCTTGATTTGTTGGCCATTCTCTGATTTCCTGTCCAAAATACATCAAAAGGATGCCCTCTCTCCCCTTTTCTGAACAGGTGGGGGCCCTGGAGAGCAGTTGCTGCCACAGACAGAAAAGATTAGGTTTGAGCTATGAATGAGCCTGTGGTTTGGAGATGGGAACAGCCCCAGAATGGGCCTAGAAGTGGTTAAGGAGAAGGGAGGGAAGCTCGCGGAGAGAGGAGAAAAGTTAAACTGCCCTGGGCTTTGTGCCCCCCTCTACCCCCCACAGACACACACTGCATTCCCATAGCCAGCCCTCACCCACAGACTGGATCACCACTGGTGACACCAACTCAAACAAACACAAGGAGGGCTGATTCTTGCCTCTTCGGGAATTCAGCAGGGCTGATGGGGCCCATCTGTCCGGGGGAGGGGTGAGAGGGCTGGCCCTCTGCTAACAAATCTCATGGAATCAGCATCCCCAGCACTGTCCATCAGGGCAACAGCTTCCAGGAACAAACAAAATAAACACCCCAGGCTTGGCCAGGCCGGAAAGGGCTGCCTGACGCACAGCCCAGAGTTACACCCACTGCTGTGGTGCTTTGTTTGGAGAATCAAAACGGTTGGAGTTGGAGCTTGTCCCTGTCTCACCACCATTCTGCTTCCCCAGTTCAGAGTATTGCTCTAGGCACTGGGTGTTTGTTTGTTATTTTATTGGGGCTTGGGGGAAGAGGGTTGGATGGGAATGGGAGACCAATAATCCAGCCCTCATGAGACAGTCTGGAGTGGGGCAGGCCAAACTCTGGCAGAAAGTCCTTCCTGTGGTCTGACTCAAATCCACTGTGATACAGCCCAAGTAGGTCCTTTTTGTTAGGTCCTCACTGAGCGTGGGAACATACATATGTTCAGCATCTACGATGGGAAGATAATTAAGTTCCTCTACTACCACTCTTACCCTACTAAATAACTGCTTCAAAACTCTGCAGAGCATGGTGCTTGCATGTTGTCACTGTGGACCCATGTAGTCACCGTCTGGTGCCTCCAATAAAGCTTAGGGGGCTGACCCCCATCTCCCTCTTAGTTCAACACATGCAGAATCCCCACCAAGTGCCATGGCTGAGCTCCGATGTTAGAGGCACAAAGATGTTTAAGGTGTCTCCTACCTCATGGTCTGGAAGAGGGTGCCAGATGTCCCTGACTCTCTAGATTTGTTTTCCCTTCCAGAAGCTCTTTACTTCCTTCCCAGCTTCCTGCTTAGAATGCTTGTCTTCACCTGCTTTTTTATTTTATTTTTTTGAGACGGAGTCTCACTGTGTCACCCTCAGTAGAGTGCTGTGGCATCACAGCTCACCGCAACCTCAAACTCGTGGGACCTCAAACTCGTGGGCTTAAACGATTCTCTTGCCTCAGCCTCTCAAGTAGCTGGGATTACAGGCACCTGCCACAATGCCCAGCTGTTTTGTTTTTTGTTGTTGTTGCAGTTGTCATTATTGTTTAGCTGGCCCAAGCTGGGTTCGAACTCGCCAGCCTCCGTGCATGTGGCTGACGCCCTAACCACTATACTACGGGCGCCAAGCTGCTTTTTTATTTTTTTGAGACAGTCTCATTTTGTTGCTGTCGGTAGAGTGCTGTGGCATTACAGCTCATAGCAACCTCAAACTCCCGGACTCAAGCAATTCACTTGCCTTGGCCTTCCATGTAGCTAGGACTATAGGCCCCCACCACAATGCCAGGCTATTTTTAGAGATGAGGTCTCACTGTGGCTCAGGCTGGTCTTGAACTCCAGAGCTCAGGTGATCCACCTACCTCAGCCTCCCAGAGTCCTAGGATTACAGGCGTGAGCCATCCTGCCCAGCCCTTTTCACTGCTTTTGACCAAGTTGTCACATCCCTTCCTTTGAAAAAGGGACTCAGACCCTGCTCTAACCTCTTGCTATTCAGTGTGCTTCCAAGAACAGCTGTATCTGCCTTACCCAGGGATTCCTTAGAAATGCAGCACTTCAGGCACCACCCAGGCCTGCTGAATCGGAATCTGCACTTCCCCTGTGATGTGGACGCACTGCTCCAAGAAGGCAGGGACTTTGTGTGTTTTGTTAGTGTCAGTATCCCCAGTCCCAAGAGTAGCATCTGCCACACAGTAGGTATTCAATAACTGTTCGCTGAATAAACACATAATTTCTCTGATTTATCCCCAACTCCTTTTTTCTCTAGCCAGCCATAAACTAAATTTCAATCACAGCTTTCCTCCTTGTCAATACTGCCAGCCTATTTGCAGATGTTTTATGTTTGTTTCCTTTCAATGCAGCCAGAGATGATCCTCCTCTTTTTTTTTTTTTGCATTTTTTTTTTTTTTTTTGAAACGGAGCCTCAAGCTATCCCCCTGGGTAGAGTGCCATGGCATCACAGCTCACAGCAACCTCCAACTCCTGGGCTCAAGCGAGTCTCCTGCTCAGCCTCCCAAGTAGCTGGGATCACAGGCGCCCACCACAATGCCCGGCTATTTTTTGGTTGCAGCCGTCATTATTGTTTTGGCAATCCAGGCTGGGGATTCGAACCTGCCACCTTAGGTGTATGTGGCTGGCGCCTTAGCCGCTTGAGCGACAGGCGCCGAGCCTTTTTTTGCAGTTTTTGGCTAGAGGCTGGGTTTGAACCCACCACCTCCAGTATATGGGGCCAGCGCCCTACTCCTTGAGCGACAGGCACCTCCTGATCCTCCTCCTTTTATGTACAGCCCCTAGTGTATGCTGTTCAGCTCACCGCATAGTAAGACTTGGAATACAGGGGTAAAACTAGTAGCCTCCCTGAACATGCTCTTAATGTCACCGCATTTGTACAGTACTTGATACAACACGTTTTTCTGCACAAAAATTCCATGAGGGAGAGATCTCCATTTTATAAGTGAAGAAACTAAGGTTCAGGGAGATTATAGGATGGTACCCAGCTCTGTCCATCAGGGTGAGTCAGAGAAGAACCAGGATGAACCAAGGTCATCTGACTCCAAAGTCTAAGCTCATTTTCATTGCAGAGGCAAGAGAGACACACAGTGCTTACTTAGGAGTGGACCAATCTTGTTCCAAAATTGGTGTGAATTTGAGCCACTTTCTTACCATTTTTCTCCTATTCCTCACTTTCATTTATGAAATGAGGATACTAATAGAACCTACCTCACTGGATTATTTTGAATTGAAAAAGATAATGTTCACAAGGTGCCACAGTACCTGGAGCTCAGTAAGGGCTCATGAAATGGCAACTTGGTAGTAACCATAATACTAATATCAGGGTACCACTCCATATTTCTCTCCGTCTGTTAGCCCATGCACACAGTTCTGCTTTTGTGATTCCCTACATCTAACCCCCTACAGAATGCAAAATGGCAAAATGGAACAGGAAAGCTTAAGACAGGAGCCCTCTATTTTCTTGTTCTGTTTGTCATAGACTAGGATGAGACCACCTGTTTCCTCCTCTGATTAAGGGCAAAGAGAAGGGGAAGGAGCAATTGGAGAGTAAGGGAAAGACTCTTGGGTGATGAGAAAGCTCTGAAAGTTAGCTGATAATAATGACAGCCTTCTGCTCCAGCATGGAACACAGACACACACACGGTCAACAAACATCTCTTCCAAGGATTATACAAAATACCGATCTTCCTGGCTTTTTTCTTAAAGGAGTACACTTTGGGGGCCTGACCTGCCTTTAGAAGCCAGCTTTTCACCTTATCTTAGAAGTTGTGACACCCCCCCACCCCAAGGCAGGCAGGCAGCCAGGCATCTAGGCCTGTAGCTATGACAGGTGTGGGGCACAGAAGCTGAAACCACCTCTGTACCCACCCTGGCCCTATTCTGCCTTCTTGAATTTTATAGGGGCTGCTGAGTCCCTCTGTATGTCACCCACCTCCCTCCCTAGTTCTTTCACATGGGAGTTTTTCCAAAATCTTTAATATGAACCACATGGGAGGAGGGTAATAGAGGGAGAAAGAAAAGAGAAAAACAAGCAGTTAAGGGTACAAACAGGGACTAGAGGCCAGTCCAGTGGCTCATGCCTATAATCCAAGCACCTTGGAAGGCTGAGCTGGAAGGATCATTTGAGGCCAAGAGTTCTATATCAGCCTGAGCAAGAGCACACCCTCTGTCTACAAAAAATAGAAATATTTGTCGGGTGTGGTAGCTTGGGTCTATAGTGTCAGCTACTTGGGAGGCTGAGGTGGGAGGATCGCTTGAGCCCAGGAGTTTGAGGTTGGAGTGAGCTATGATCATGCCATTGCACTCTAGCCTGGGTGACACAGAGCAAGACACTGTCTCCAAAAAAGATAATAAAATAATGGGAACTAGAAAGAACCCAGCTACTACCAGATGCTGAAATTACCAAAGTGACACTTCCTCACCTACACACCATTTGGTCCCCAAGACTACATCTCAAACTAATAAGAAGGCCATCAAGTGTCTCTAAAAGCAAACTGCCATCTGGGTGAGATAAAGATGGGCAGTAGTCACTTTATGCTCTCTACCCAGGGACCCTGAAGACATAAGTCCCTGGCAAAACCAAGCCCATAAAGGTAAAAAGGGTAGCTTTGCTCTCACGCTGAACTTTGAAAGGCTTTTCTCCTCATCCCCCTTCTTCCCTTTCCCTTTCTGAAGGAATGTTTCAAGCCAGATGTAAGATATAGGCCTCCCTGCTCCCCCATCCAGAACCCCCCTCTTTGCCTTCCCCAACACTGGAGAGACTTAAAAAAAAAAGAGAGATCCAAAAGAGATTTTTCTGAAACAGGAAAACGGGGTGGGGGTGGGGATGGAGAGCCGCATCTTGAAATGATAGGAATCTGCAGCCCAAGCGGGCTGGCCCCTCAGCCAGCTACCCCTCACCCTTCCAGCCAAGATTCCAAGTCAAGAGGCGAAAAGCCACAGGGTGCAAGGGGAGAAGAGACCATACTTGGGGGGCAAGAGGCATTGCACAGGAGGAAGAGCAGAGGAAGGAAGGGAAGGGGGCACTACATGTTAAAGAGGGGCAATAGCCTAGTCCAAGAGGCCAGTATGATTGGGGGTGAAGAGGAAAGAGAAGACTGAATTTTTTCTCAGTCTAACCCTCTCCCTCTTCTCCTCCCCACCAAAGTGGGGGAGGAGGGAGGGCAGCTTCTCCTGAGAGAAGGTCATAGGAGCCTTCAACCCACCTTTGGGCGAGTTGGGTTGAGGAAATTCTGAAAAGGACAACAGATGTCCAGTGGGTTTCCAATGCCTTTTTGCCTCATCTGCCCTTTTGTGAACTGACTGGAGTGTAAAGCCTGCAGGAAATCTGAGGAGAGGGTCTCAGTACCTTAGGACTCTAGAACCCTCTGGCTCTCCGAGGGGAGAGATGGCAGATGGGGTCACCTAGGGAAGAGAAGGAAGAAGGGCAGAAGACATGACATCCTCCACTGGGGAGGCTGGAGACCACAGCCGAGATTATGCAAACCCAAGTGTTTTGTTTGTTTTAATGAGTTAATGGGGGTAGTTTGTGCCTGATTCCGTTTCTAAACCTCACTCTGAGTGCTGCTGCCTCACCAAAGTCTTCCTGCCCTACGAGGGAGAGTAGACTAGTGAGAGGCTCGTTTGCTCTCCAGCCCCATTGCCAGCTGCCCCCTTCTCAGGGGCGACCTTATGCGAAATCAAGGGACCCTGTAAGAACGGCCGCTGCAGGCCCCCGAGGGACTACTGGTTCTTTGAACCCTGAGAGAAACTCGTAAGGCAGTTTCTACGCTAAGGAGCTTGAACTGAAAAAGAGGGGTATAGTATTTGGGGATCTAGGGGGCTCGACCACGGGCGTCCTTGCTCCAAATGCTCAGCGCCCTCCTCAGCGGGCGGGTAAAACGCGGGGCCTCACCCTCCTGCCCCACTCATCCCCCACCCAGATCGCGTCTAACTCCGTCGAAGCGACAGCCTCGTTCCCTGGGCAGCCCATGCTGGGTTATATTCCCTCCAAGCACCTTCAGCCTCTCCTACCCAGCGCCTCACCTCCCAACGTGAGAGCCACACTCACCACCAGGACATGTCTACGCGGGCCGGCAGCGTCAGCAGCAGCAGCAGCAGAAAGCAGGTAACACCTAGACGGACCGAAGCCCGGGAGCCGTCGGGGGCCGGGGGTCTGGGCGCGGGCTCGGGGACAGGGGCCCGGGCACGCCGAGGGGGCAGCTGCGCAGCTTCCTCCGCACCACCCGGCCTCAGCATAGCTCCCCACGACTCCCGCCGTGCAGCCCGCAGGGGCGTGGACGGGGACGCGTCAGGTGGTACTCAAGCTGCTCCTACCTCACCCCTCTGGGGGGCCATGGGGCTGCTGACGGCTAGGAACCTAGGGTCACGGAGAGCCGGGGCACAGCGTCCCGGAGAGGGGCGCACGTTGCAGTATCCGAAAGCTGACGACGGGGCGCGGAGCTAGGGGTCCGGGGCTCGGCGCCCGAGCGCTGAGTGCGGTATCGGGGGCTCTGCGGCGCGAAGGGGAGCTGCGGGCCTAGTGTGCGGACGGCCCCCTCGGCCGCGGGCTCTCATTGGACGGGGAGGGGCGGGGCCGAGGCCGGGGACACGAGCGGCCCTTAGGGCGGATCCGCCCGCGCCAGCCCCGGCGCTCCGCGGCGCGCTAGGTGTGGCGGCCGCCTCCTCTCCGCGGCGCTGCAGTGCGCTGCGGCGCGGGACCCACCTGCTGTAGCGCGTTGCGAACCCGCGCGGTGGCTACCCTCGGCGCCCCGAGCGCCCAGTCCCTGCCGACACCGCGCCACCGGGTCCTAGCGCCCTTCATTCGGCCACCCCAACTTCTGTGGGCGACCAAGTGTACAGAGTGGAAAGGGTCTACACTAACTACCCAAACTATGTGACACTGGAACTGAGCACGAAGGATGCGTTCAATTCATCGGGTCTTCTCTTTTCATTCTTCGCCTCTGTGAAATGGGTAGAATCCCTGCCACCGAGAGTTGTAGGACGCTCTTAACGCCTTTTTTTCAACCCTGCCTATAGGGGCTCCGTGGGCAGCCAGCTTCAGGTAGGGGGATTCTTTCATCTAGGGCCCTTGTTGCTGGCGACCCACTGCACCTCCCCCACTCCTAACATTCAGACGTGACGCCCGCCCACCTGCCCAGCCCCGGTGCTTTGCTAGGCTTAGGGACCGGGAATCCATGGCAGACGCCGAGGGGGCACACCTGCGAGCTCCCGCCCCTCTGGCCCGGCTCTGCAGAGCTCAGTCTCTCCACGATCTCTCTCTGTGCCTGGGTCCCCCACCCTCTCAGGCGGGGCTGAGACTGAGAAAGAATCAGAAACAGCTGGGCGGTTTTCCCCGAACCAGAGGCCAGGGTGGGAGTCCTGCTGAGAGGGTGGAAACCCTGGAGCCTCTCGCTCCTTAGCCTCTCCACCCCTGCCTCCTCTCCGCTGCTCCCTCACCCTCCTCCGCCCGCACGCAGCCTGAGAGCGAGGTAAATCTGGATGCGGTGGGGAGGTGCCGTCTGCTGCAAGTGACTCCGCTCTCCTCCCACTCCCTGCACTTCCCAGGCTAGCAGGTAGAGCCCCTGTGCGCTGAGTGCCCCTTACTGAGAAGCAAAAGTTCTTTTTAAAATCCTGGGTTTCCCGCCTTCTAGAATTTCTCTTGGATCTGGCCTCAATCCCTTTCTTCAGCCTCAGCTTCTCCCATGTAGCAGATGTCTTTCACGCCTCTCCCGGTGATTTATTTACTTACTTTTTGAGAGTCTCACTACGTCACCCTCTGTGGAGTACAGTGACGTCACAGCTCACAGCAACCTCAAACTCTTCGGTTTAAGCGATTCTCTTGCTTCAGCCTCCAGAGTAGCTGGGACTACAGGGTCCGCCACAACGCCCAGCTATTTGGTTGCAGTTGTCATTGTTCTTTAGTAGGCCCTGGCTGGGCTCGAACCTGCCACCCTGGGTGTATGTGGCCAGCGCCCTACTCACTGAGCTAGGAGCACCGGGCCTGGGTGACTTATTTAAACTGAATGAGTGTAGTCCTGGTTTAAACAATGCAGTCTGTCCTTGGTTTGGGGAGGGCTGCAGTTGTATTAGAGATGTGCCTGAGTGGGAGTGGGAGCCCAAAGGGCACAGCTGGCTGCCAGGAGGCTACAGGTATCACAGAGACCAGAGACAGTAGGAGAAGGCTTCGGAGGAACCTTTATCCTCTCTTTCCACCTCTCACTCCTTTACCTCCACTTTCTGTGGTAAGGGGCTGAGTACATTCATTAATTCAACAAATATTTATTCCTGATACCACATGCCAGGACTAGGACTACACTAGGCACCAAAACACATCAGTGAACAGAACAAAACAGTTTCTGCTCTCATGGGGTTTACATTCTATTGGGAGAAGATAGACTATAAACAGTAAACATGAGACGTAAAACAGATCGTTAGAAAGTGGGAAGTGCAGTGGGAAAAAATAGAGCACAGTAAAAGGGATAGGTCATAATTATAACGAGGGTGATGAGAGTAGGCCTCAGTAAGTTGACTTTCAGCAAAGACTTGAAGGAGATGAGACAAGCCAGGCAGCTTCTTGGTGAAGAACATCCCAGGCAGGGGAAGAAAAAGTACAGAGCCCCACAGACAGGAGGGAGCCAGTGTGCAGGGGCTGGCAGGGGCCAACCAGCTGCAGCAGAGTGAGCTAGAGTAGGAGAGGAGTCCAGATAAGTAGCAGAGGGGTTCCCATCGTGGAGGGGAGAAGGTGCCTCTGAGGGCATGGAAAGTGAGGGCTAGGCTGGAGTTGGATGAGAACGGGAGAGGGTTGAATACAGAGAACTTGCAAGGCAACTAGATGGCCACAGGAACTAGGACTGGCCAACCAGCTGTCTCTAGCCCTCCCACATTCTCTTTCAGTCTTGTGGGCTCCTGCTAGCCCTGCTGGTTTTTTGTTTTTTTTTTTTTTAGAAAAGCACAGATTCTATGCTGAGTTTCTTTGAGGGGCAGGTGGGAGAAAAGTGAGAACAGGCTCATTCCTGGCTGAGCCCCTTTCCTTGGACTACTCTTTCACCTCCTCCCAGCGCTGCCCCACCCCTACTCGGGCAGCAGTCTTGGAGCTCCAGCAGCCTTTCCCAGACTCCCCTGTGTATTCAGGACTGGGTGTGACTCTGGCCTTGTGTTTATTTCTACATATGGGCCTGGGGTTGTGGGGTGGGGAGCTGGAGATGATCACATCAGTCTTAACCTTGGGTGGACGCGCCCACATGGGCCCAAAGAACACTTCTTAGGCCCCTTCTTTGGCTTCAGCTGCATCATAGTCAAGTGGGATTGTGTCTTGGCACAATATAGATGCTCAACTATTAAAGCATGTTTCTGAGATGACCGAGGCCTCAGACACATCAGCAGCTCTGAGAGAGAGGGAAGTGGGTAAGGGGACAAGACTTTTCTCTAAGGCATACAGGCCACCTCTGTCTCAGAGTGACAACCAGGATGAGGTTTGCTCTTTCTTCTTCTCTTCCCCTCTAAGTCCCTAGCTCCCCGGGAGGAATCTCAGGCTGCAGGAGCCAGCTGACTGCAAGAGTTGCACTCAACCACTTAACTGCAGAACAAATAAGGAGCCAGAGAAGAGGTTTTCTGGGATCTGCCACTTTGGAGTTTCAAATCTCAAAATAAACTTCCAGTCTTAAGGTCCTAGACACTACTGGAGAGCTCAGCTCCTCACGCAAGGGCCTGATGTGGGGCTTCCAGACCGAGGGGCCAAGGCCAGAGGCTCAAGCCAGCTTCTCCATCTGACCCTCCAGTCTCTCTTGGGGTTATATGAGTCAGAGGGAGGAGTCACTGATTTGAAAGTCAAGTCCGGTCTGGAGGGCCCTGCATGGTGTCAAGTCAGCATATACTAAGCACCTGCTATGTGCCTTACATTGGTCAAGGCATCTTATTTTTTATTTTTTTGAGATGGAGCCTCAAGTTATTGCCCTAGGTAGAGTGCTGTGGCATCACAGCTCACAGCAACCTTCAGCTCCTGGGCTCAAGCTATTCTCTGGCCTCTGCCTCCCAAGTAGTTAGGACTACAGGCACCTGCCACAACGCCCAGCTGGGTTTTGGTTGCAGCCGTCATTGTTGTTTGGTGGGCCTGGGCTGGATTCAAACCCACTAGCTCAGGTGTATGTGGCTGGTGCCTTAGCCACTTGAGCCACAGGCACCGAGCTGGTCAAGCATCTTAAATGTCACAGAAGGAGCAAGTGTCTGACTGTCAAGGCATTTTCATGCAGATACAATAAAAGAAGGGCACACAGAGGCTCTGCTAGGATTCAGGCAGCATGCTGCCATACAGTGAGCAGCCTAAACAGAGACCCGAGGAGGAATTCCAGGTCCCCTGAAGGCTGCCACATCCCCTGGGGACTCTAGCAGGACAGCTTCCACCCAGCAGAGTCAGGCCTTCCCTCTACCCCACAGTGGCACTTTTGTTTCCTCAAAAGTAGGCGCCCAAAGGAGGATCCCTTCTCACCTTTGACATCTCACCTCATGCGGCTAGTGGGGCAGAGTTAAGATTCATCTTTCCCTTTATTCTCAACTTTGAATTTTACTGGCCTTTGAATGGGAGAGGAGATGAGCTAAGGGAAGCTCTGGTGTGGATAAACAGCTCTTACCTTGGCCTGGTCCATACCCTCAGAGTGCCCCCCTTCCCAGGCCCATCCTCTTTGGCCATGACCTTCTCTTTTTCCCCTGGTGGGAGGTGGTGTGGATGGTAATGAGCAGAGAGAAAGGCCAAGAAGGGGCTGGGGGGAGGTTTGGATGGGAGTCAAGGAATTCCTGAGCCTGCTGCTTGCACAAGGGGCCCCAGACGCCTTTCCTATGATTTCTTTGCAAAGCGAGGCAGGTCTCATTTGAAATGGGGCCAGGTTCACACAGGTTCCTAATGCCCCACCTCCTGCCCTGTTGCCTTTGCAGGTGTCTGGGGAAGTGAGAGGAGTTTGGGAAGAACCCAGGGAGTTCTAGGGGGGAGGGTGAGAGTGGGATCCATGCTTTGTACACAGCCTGACCGGCCTCTCCTTGGTATTTATGAGCTCCCAGGCGAGGCATGGAACGTGTCTCAAAGAGGCCAGACTAAACGGGCTTAGGAAGGACAGAGCATCTAGCCCCAAATCAGGAAATGGGGCTTCAGGGGGCAGAACTCCTTTCCACCAAGCTAGTGTCCAAACAGGAGGCAAACTGCTCCCCAGGGGACCAGGAAGAAAGGAAGAGAAGGTCTGAGAAGAGGAAGGAGAGAAGGGTTGGGATGGGACAGTGGGACCATGAGGGCTAGGCATTGGGGAGGGGGGTCTGGAGACTTTTAGCACTTTGGCTGTAATCATACTGGAGCCAGGCAGTGGGCGGGCTGACGGCCATCCTGGGCGATGGCCCAGGTTCTGTGTGAGGCCAGTGGGTGTGCTGCTAGGATCCTGGGTGGTCACTGACCAGCCTCTCCCCAAGGGAGGGTTCCTACTTTGCCCCTACTCCCCTCCCTTCCTAATCTGCCCATATGAATAGGCTAAACACTGAGTTCTCATTCTCTCCCTACCACCTGTTCTGGGCATCAGAATGATCTGAGAATGTAATTTGCTTCCAGTGGACAAAAATCCAGAGCCCACTCTCTGCCTTCCTCCTGCTCCGCCTTCTTCAGTTCACTCTGTCTCTTGTTCTCTCATGCTCTCCTGGGTCTTGTCCGGGTCTCCATCTCTCTGGGTCACCCTGGCTCATGTTTCTGTCACTCTGTGTCTATTCCTATCTCTCTGAGTTC